TGCCAAACGATGTGCTTGATTTCAATACGACTTCCTTCATTAGTGAAAACAAACTCCATGACAAGTACCTTGTAAGCTCAACCGTCCAAGCATTTCGAGCCTTCATCCTGGGTGATAAACGCCTACGAATGATTTTTAACCACTCGCATACTTCCTCAGCAATGAGTGAACCAGCAATAATAGTAGAGCTTAAGATTCGCTCTTGGATCACTCGATGTTTTTCCCATTTATCAAAGAGGGAAGTGAGTGATCGAGTTGACTCCTCCTCAAAAGCAACAAAATTTGCCGTTTGATTGCGTAGGGACCATAACTCTCGCACAGCAGAATCAATTGCTTCGGCCGGATTAGTTGTGATGACCTGTGCATCTTCATTATCTGATAAATCGGCCTCATCAGCCAATATATTTTGTAAAACTTCATCAGATGTAAAATATTTCTGCTCAGACTTTTCCGCCATCTTGAAAATTTTGGCAGTAGACCGCTGACATTTCGAAAACGAACAGTCGTCTCCTAAATGCTACTTGAGCTCTTCTGCTGACCCGGCGTGAATTAAGTCACGAATTAGATGAATTTTCCTCTGAATTTTCGCAATATTAACTCGTTTTATTAAAGTGATGAGAGAACACAAAAACACAATGTAGAAGTATTAAAGTTATGTCTTACCATAGTGAGTTAGCTTTTCAATGAATTTCGTCATTAAGTTTTTGTATACAGTTTCAAGGTGGCTCCCTAGGGTTTTATTTCCGGGGGTTACGTTCTTCGTATATATGTAAACTAAAACTCGTGTGACTTCAAAATACGAACGAACGCGATGTTTTATATGGAACTCTTTTCTCTGAACCGCCGTGGCGCCGTACGCGAGGTTCGATTGCGAACATTGGGATATGATATAAAGTTTTCTCAAGCATTTGCAGTGTTTTCTCCACAATTTAGCAGCACTTATGAAAATAAAGATGACTTAAATAATGAGCCCTCTACTGTTGAAATGAACAGGGCCGAAACTCCAAACATACCATTATAAAAACTGAAGATTGAACGGGCATTTTGCGAAAACATCCGACAATAGTACTAACGTACTCGCACAGGACGAATTTTGACAAACATTTTTCAAATTAATACCAAGATGTCATAACCAGTAATTACCAAAATATCTTCGCCAATTTTACATGTATAATCCACGCTTAGTGGACCATTAACCGACATAGTTATAAACAATATATCAAACATAATTTATATTTTGTGATTTCAAAAAAGCCACGCCTTGTTGTTTTATACAAAATGCATGTACACGTCAGTTGTGGTATTAAATTGTTCCCGTCAAAATCTAGTAAAAATTGCCAAAATTGGACCCTAGCTTGCCGGACGGCGATGGCTATTAATACAATGAAATTCACGACAGTGTAAAAAGAAAATGCATAATTAAAGCGCCATTGGGAGATTTAGACGTCGTCCTTGCTCTGTTTACAACAGCAAACCAAAGATTTTCACGTTTTGTATACAACGTCTGACTTTCAAGCCGCGAGAAGTCGTCCTCGCCAAATTGGCTTAGTGGAAGTCTTCTCAACTATAAACCTCTCTCTCTTAACCATCTTAAACTGCAATAAATTCATCAACGGATAATACAAGATATGTTGTTCTTAAAGTTTAATATACTTATTTGAACGAGTTTGTTTTGGCCATCGTCGTCGCGTTGCCGTCACCTATTTGCTAAAAGTCCCTAATGTAGTGCAGATGTCTGATGAAATACTACGCGTATTGCATTGTAGTAATATTTTAATTTACAATAATATTCTGTACTGACAAATAAATGCAAGACAAACAATTAAATGAAACTACTAAATTAATTTAGGCCCTGTTTACTTAATAGCTCTACGCCTAGGCCGATGTAGTCTCTACAAGATTCATCATGCCACCGAGTTTTACATGCAGTTTCAGAATACCCCGAATACTTGAAAATTGCGACTATACGATAAAATAAAACAAAGATTGTGAAGGGATAAAATTTGTAGGCAAGCATTGCTCCTGAACGGCAAGTGTTTGTGCCCGGCGAAACAAGCGTACAGCGTAAACAGGTTACGCGAGGTTTTATATTTGTGTTTATTTATATTGAACTAAGTCAAATATATAAGAGCATATTTAAATTAAATATTAATAGCAAAAGCCACATTGTTGAAGACGAGAGAAAGCTAATTTCGTGTGAATCACTACTTGCATGGAGACGCCTAGATGCAGCTTGGATGCACTTTGCCTGTGCCTGTGGTTGAAAATCTTGAGAAATAGTCGGTATATCTTAGAAAACATAGACAGTGTATTCAGAGATTTCAGCTGATTTGTGCCAAACTTCGCTCTACACATAAATAATATCGATTGAGAAGTCTTTTGGCTGTTTATTTGTTTCGAAGACTTGCATATTTCATTAAAGAATATCTCGCCACTCCTTGACGAGTAGCTGTCAAATACTGCCATTTTTGGGGTAGTCACGTGACCGGTCCAGACTAGGGCTTTCTCGTCTCTCGCCTCGTCCTCATACGAAAGCCCTGGGAACGAGGTTGGTTACACGTACTTCATGTAATACAAATTATAGAGGTTTTACTATAAATTGAAGCATTGCATGTCCAAGCATTGCATTTTAAAGCAAATTGTGTGGATTTTTTTAAAAAATAAAAGGCCTTTTCGGGAGACATATGGTGGGATAAGCACATTGAGGATATTAAAGCAAGATTTCAAGTTTCAAAAGCATATATTTGGAAAATCACGTTTCATACAATGAGGTTTGAAACAAGTTTTGTTTGAAAAAATGTGAAGAATTGATTTACAATGGAAAATCGTTAAATGTAGGGCAAGTTTGCTTTGAATATTTTTATTGCGTAAAACATGTACTCCCCCCACCTGTTCTGCTGTTTTCCTTTTCAATAAAGTTGTAAGTTTCGTAAATTACCCTGTTTAATTTAGAAAAAAAGATAAATGTAAAGGTGAGCAAATTAATTTGAAGATCCAACTGAAATTACTCAACAATTTGAAGTAAAAACAGCTTATCGGCAAAAGCAGTTTAGTTATTAAAATGAACATTTCAAAATATTTAAGAAGCGATTCAGGTTACATTTTCATTAAAATCAAAGCTCATCATATCCATGCCAGAACAATATGCCTACAGTACATATATTTCGGAAATTCCTTGTTACATAGTTAAAGGCAATAATCTTTCGACTATTTTTGCCGTGTTGTACAAAAGTATAAAAAATTATTTAAAATTATCGTGTTGCCGTGGCAACACCACAGAGGAGTGATATACAGAGAAAAAATTCACACTGGATAACGGGGAATTGAAAATTGTCGTCGCTGACCAAATTTATCACGGCCGCTTTCTTTTTGCCAAGCATTCAAGCAAAAATTGTGAAAAAAACAAAAACACATATTTCGCTACTCTGTTTCTCGAACTGCAGCAGAGGGAAAACAAAAGAAAGTTAGCAGACGTAAACGTTAGTAAACGTTAATCAAGAACAAAATTACTTGTCGCAATCGAGAAGTTAGCCGTCAAGAATTCTTTGCTGAAATAAGGCCGAAAATGACCAACCTCGTTCCCAGGGCTTTTCCCTGTTTGTCATTGGGAAGGCGAGAAAAGGCCCTGGCACCGGCCGGTCTTCTATGCATTCTGATTGGTCAATGACAAATACATTTTTATGCAAATAATGCAATCTTGCAAAATGCAATCTGGGGTAAATTAACATTTCATGCCAGGAGTGTCCATTGTTACTACTTTGTCCGTCTAAGAAATATTTTTGGCAAAATTTGTGGAAAGATGGTTAAATTCGATAAGATTTATACAGAATTTGTCGAAGGTTAGTATTATTGTTTGTTTTAAACTGTGAGAGATTTATTGTGGACTAGAACATACCTCTGAGGCTCTGACTGAGTATTTAGGGGAAGCCTCACATATCGGTTTTTTCCACGAGAAACGTCATATGTTCGTTAGGGGGTGGGGGGGGGTGGGATGTTTCTCTTCAGTAAACTTCATGGAAAAATTCGATAGTTTTTTCGAAAGCCTTTTATCTTTGCAGAATAAAAAAATTACATTCGTAATACCGTACCTGTTCTATATACGTATACATTTATATTATTACGCCTTCCTTGCATTGAAAACAGTTACTCAATTTTTAACAAAAATTCGCTAAAATTATCAATATTTCATGCAAAAAAAGTTGTTTTGAGAAACGTTGGAATATATTAATGAAAAAAGATATGTCAGCAGCAGATCGGCATATTCCTCGCAGAAGTATCGCCAATAGCCGACCGTAGACAATAGTAGAAAATTACCTTATGTGTAATATATCTATAAGAACAAAATATCGATAACTATGTGTGACGTTTCTAAGGGGGGGAGTCTGCAGACAAACGAACATATGACGTTTCTCGTGGACAGAATCGATATGTGAGGCTTCCCTATGTACTTTCATATTTGGCTTCGTATAGCGTTTATAATGTTTATATTTATAAAACTAAAGTCTGGGTTTATAAACTGAAACATGACCTTTAGTTTTTGATGTTCTTCATAGTCGAGTTTAAATTGGCCTAATTTATAGTTAGTTACCACTAGAAATGCGACGATATTTTGTTATATCATGTATGCAACAGTGTTTACAACTTTTGAATAATATGTGATTTGGTTTTGTTTCAGATACTGTTACATGTTGATTCATTTTACCATAAATTGTGTTAAAAAAGTGATTTGCTCATTTGGCTGATGATACAGTTTTCTGTTGTGTTTTATTTGGATGATATTAGAACAATTTCAATATGAAAGTGCAGGTGTCTTTAGACATGATCCATAATGTTTTTATCAAAATACCGATAAAATCCGTTTCCCGCTTGATTGTATTTGCATTTGTTGTATTTGCATTCTTGCGAAAAAAGTTGTGCAATATATGGCGGGCTTATGTCACATACTCGTATGTAATTCCATGTGTCTGCATGTGCAGTACTTTGATGCCTCAAGAGATGCTTCAAATGTGGAATGAAGGGCTGTTCACAGGAGTTGCGCTGTCTGGCCTTAAATTGCATTGTTTTATGATATTTTAAGATTGTATTCATATGGCTGGACCATCATGCCATTGCCACAATGTCTGATGTTCAAACAGGCTTTAAAATCAGGTTGCAATGCATGCTTGAAAATATGCAACAATTTCACTGCTAATAATATTCCAGAAAATCCTGCCTCTTGGGCAGATCTGAACTGATTTGTCACAGGGAGTTGGAGGTTTTCTACTTGTGATTGGGCAAGGGGAGCTAGCCAAGGGTGCTGGGTCAGAGTCAAACTCATGTGAACAGCTTCTAACTCCTAATTATATTGATAAATTATGTACACTTTGGGATGGTAATGCAATTTGTAAAATATTCCACATTTTATTTAATAAAATTTAATTATATACATTGTTTTTGTTGTTTATATTAACACCTTGG